ACAAGGAGAATGATGTAGAAGGGCAAATGAGAATACTCATACAGTCAGCGTCAAAAATATGCATACCCCGCCGTTTTGAGGATATAATTTATTAATATTTTCCATACAAAATTTTGCTTATTTTTTTATAAAGATACATATAGTTCATTTCAACAGCAAAAACCATATGAATTATTATTTTTTTCATACGGAATTCCGACAAATGCAAGAAATTTGTATTTAAGTTTTAAATTTTTCAATTTGATATTTAAATTTTAGTCAAGCGCAAGTTTCAATTCGCGAAAATTTACGGTTGATATGTGAGAATTTTTTTTTTTTTGCTGAGGGTGTTGCGAACCGAACCTTCCTTCATAAAGATTTCAGTTATGGGTTTTAGAAAGAAAATGCGCAACACTCACGGCAGAGAAATTCAAAAAAATCAACGTTAATTTTTGGCGTCTAATTAATGGTCTAAAAAATTGCATACTCAAAATTTAAAAATTTAAAATTCCGATGAAAATTTCTCGACACTTCTTGCATTTCCTCGAGTTCTGTATGAAATTAAAACAATTGATTCTTGTGGTTTTTGTTGTTGATTGAATTACACTTTTATAAAAAAAAAATTAATAAAAATTAATTAAAAATATAAATAATTCAAATCGTCAAAACGTCAATTTATGCATATTTTTAACGCTGACTGTATGTATTTAGATATTCAAAAATGTCAATGCAGGATCTTAGATATTGACGATGGGTTCTCTTCCTTGCGGGGTATCTAAAGGCCTCTAGTTGGGATTGGTTCTTCACGGTTGTTTATAAAAAATTCGATCAATTGATCCGCCATTTTGGATCAGTCATTTCAAATTTTTCAAATATATTCAATATTCATGCCTGAAGAACAACTCAATCTGAAGCAATGGTAAGAATAAGCGAAATTTGAGTTAATTAAAAAAAAAGAAAAAACAATGAATTGTCAGGGAATTCAATTCAATTTCTCAAACTACACTACTACTACTTTTCGAGCTTTTAAATTAGATTTCTTAGAAATATTTTGAATATGCAGTTTGAGTCGGATTTCAAGCGATCATGCGCTTTTGCTTCAGCGATCTAGGTGACAGTAATATACATATGTATATGTACATTAGGGCGGGTCAATTTGTATGGGATAAGTTTTCGACTATGCGCGTATATCACAGAAATGGATGTAATTCTAAACAAATTTTACGTAGAAACCCTGGGTCTGAAATCAATTTGGAATTTGCTAATTTGCGAAAATAGTTTTCTTAGCATTTTGTTGTAGTGTCGTAAAGAAGTGGTTAAGTAAATTTTGTATACAAACATGCCATAAGGGATTTTTTGTGTATGACGAATCTATTTGTACGCTTATATTTTTCTTAAAAGTTCCAACAGTTCCAACAAATTGATTTCAGACACATGGTTTCTTCGGCAAATTTGTTTAGAAATACACATTGAATCCTCCTATGCTACACGCGTATAGTAAGGAATCATTGACCTGCCCTAATGTATGTACATACATATGTATGTACATAAATCTCCACGGAGAAAACATGCTGTGTACTCTGCTGCGATCGAATGAGCATTAAAATACCACACGTAACAACATCGTAATGGACTAACATTTTTTATTTTTTTATTTTTATAAAATGATGTGGGAGTCCATCATATCAATCACAAACTGAATTTTGAATTTTTTATTAGTTACGACTTTTTGTATTTCAGCGACGATGTTTGTTGCGTTTTTTTAACCGACTTCCAAAAAGGAGGTTATCGGTTCCTCGGAATATTATTTTTTTTTTATATATGTTACCGCATAACTTTGGACTTTTTGCGTCGGAAAGATCTCAGAGGTGGTCACATACTAATCTGGTTAAGATCCCATCAGTGGATCAGTTGGCGATACATGTATGTAGATATGAGCCGTTTATTTTGAAAATGGCATAAGTCACTTCACACCACTTGTGCTTTACTTACATACATACATATATCTGAACACGTCGGTGATTCGTTCAACTTCATCAGCCAATGATAAACAGTTTTGAAATCCGTTTATGGCAATGTAACGATTTAATGTTGCATTCGGTTACAAGTAACCGGTGATTAAAATGCAAGAGATATGAAGTGACTTATGCCACTTTCAAAATAAACGGCTCATATGTACATAGATCCTACAACTCTTAATTGCATCTAAGAGCTCGCCTTGGTATTATTTTTATTAAATAAATAATGACTCCAATTGCAAAATAAAAACATAATAAGTAGGTATGTATGTATGTACATATAAAAATTAAGAAGATAAATAAAAATTTGCCAATAAATACTTAAGTACATATTTGGGAAGTCTGCAGTTTGTCGCTTTGTTATCGATAAGCGTGTATTGCAGAATGATTCGACAATGATGCATTTTTGTGTGTGCACATTTGCAAGTTTCTTGTTATCTTATAGGGAAATAAAATGGCAAATATAAGAATGTAAATAAAATAAATTTTATGTTTATACTTCTGTTTTGGTATAAATTCGGGGGCCAGTATGTAGCAGGGAAATATTGTCAAAAGAATGTCGACAAAACATTCACTGCGACACTTCTAGTGTTGTGAAAACATACACACATACATACATAATTAACACTCCCCTGCAAAAAATGCGACTAATCCGTGATGACTTAGGGAGCAATCGCAAAGGAACATACGACTAACACCACTTTCGATCTCTTAATATGGAATGAACTGTTCGCTTTTGTTCGAGCAATACCTATGAAGAAACTAATTGTTCCATTTTATACCCGAGTGGGTCTAAAAAGCGACTAGTCAATTTCAAAAATAAAAATAAAAATTTGCGCAAGCTGCGATTCGAACCGGGGTTATCAGTTTTGTTAAGCGAATACTCTCTCTCCCTGTGTCAACGCCGCGAGTAAAATCTCGCTCACTAAGTGCGTACTTACCATTAAATCGTTAATTGCACTAGTTAGAGATGAGTCGGGGACTAGTTGATCTCCAATTAGTCATCCCGGATTAGTCGCACTTTTTGCAGGGCTGTTTGAACAAATAAAAAAAAATATAAATTCTTTCGATAGCTGTTTGAATGCATATTATAGTAAATGGTTAATTGTAGTTCACAGTGGGTTTTGTTGTAGGTAAAGTTTGTTTTCATTAACGATTGGATTATGAATAGAATGAGAGGGTGCAGTAGACTCACGTCTTGTATGTATGTATAATATTCGCACATAGTTACAAATACTATTAGATGCATTTGTTTATATCTATACACATACATATGTATGTACATACATACATAGATATAGTACAGTAAATATAGGTGGGCGCTAATTGCGGAAATACTCCGTCAATGGCAGACATAAATTCCGGAAGACCTTAGGTAGAGAGTGATAAAGTAATAACAAAAAATATATAGATAAATAAATACGTTGCATTTTTGTTAAGTATCTCTTTAATCGACTTGAAGAAAGTCAATAAAAGCTTATCTAGAAATTATTGTACTACATACACATATTAATTTTTATAGTGNGCTTGTGGCAGCATGAGTGCGGCTTTAATAATAATTCGAAAGGCAGTGCAAAACTAAAATACAAAAATTTTTGAGTATTTCTTGAAACACAATAACACTATTTTAAATTAATGGAATTCACTTGATCACTAATATATAATTAAAGCGTTTGATCTTGTACTTGATAGTTGATTTGAGATCTGGAAAATAAAAATAGAAACATAAGAAAATAATTAAGTAATAAATTGAAGCAAAAGCAATAAAATTAAGTAATTAAGTAGATTAGGTCTGAAGAAAGATTTTTTTTTTAATCCTCTAGCATTCAAGTAGTTGTAATAAACAGATCACACACTTCACAGGCCGTTTTTTTTTTATTGTCACCCGGATGAACAGACTAAAATCCGGACTATCCGGCCAAAAGCCGGACACCTGGCAACCCTGGATGGGAGGCAGGGGAAATTATGCATCAGAAATTACGAAACAGCTTTTAAAAATAGCAACTAAAACACTGTTTTATAAAATGAGCGCTAAAAAATAAAAAAGAAGTGTCTAGTACCTTACTATTAAAATGTAAGCAAAATAATTTGGCGCCACAGCCAGTGTTGCTAGATTTATTTAATTTTTTGTATTTTTTTTTAACTGTGTTAGCAAGAAAAAAAATGTATTTCAGCAAACCAAAGCAAAGGAGCTCTGTTGAACTTGCATCAAATTTGCCAAATCGGAAAAATGCTGACTTATTCTCTTTGATAAAACTGGATCAAAAATTTTAGTTTAGTTTTTGTTCTCCAGACGCCACTGTCCAATTTCTATGTAGAATTGCTCGGTGATTCAAAAAAAACTTACTAAACCGAAAGATCGATACGAGAAGCGAAGGCATCGCAAAAAAAGGCAACAAGAACTGCGTACTGCCGGAAGGAAATTTGACCCAAGAAAATTTCTTAGCCATTTCTTTTACGTCATTTTACATGGTTTTTGCTTTTCTTGAGAACTGCATACTGGCCTTTGACAAATGAGGCTGAAGGAGGAATGGCCAGTGAAGAAAAACTAGCCGAGACCTACAAAAAAATGTTTTACTCACATTGGGACAAATTTCATTTTTCTAGAAATCTATAAACGGTCTGATCGGATAGAGAGTGAAGACAGACTATACAAAAAAAAAAAAACATTTAGATTGATCTAAATTTATTTCTATGTACTGGAAGAAGATACTGCCTTTTAAACTTTTTTTCAATTGCCAAGAAGGGTTTTCTGGTAACACTGCTCACAAGCACAGACTATGGCAAAAAAAAGGAAAAATAAAACTTTTAAAGCAACCTCAGCAACAACTACTGAAAGCTCTTATTTCACTCTCTTTTGAAAAATCGTATAAAAAGTGTGCTGAAGAGGGGCGCTAAAAGCAGAGGAAGTCGATGAAAAATGTTGAATTGTATTTGTATGTACGACGAAGAAAAAAAGCAAAAACCTGAAACCTGCCGGCCGGTTTTCATTGACGTGTCGTGTTTGTACAGTACACTACGAGAATACGCGCATACCACAATGAGATATGATTCTTTTGCAGTGGTAGAGTAGAGTAGTAGTATGTAAGTTGTCTTATACACATATTGTATATATGAAAACGTAAATTTGTATTCGTAGTAGCGTATAGAATTGAATCGATTGAGCCAACGAACCGTAGGAAGAGGGGGCCAGGGGGCGCTGGGGTACACGAATGTGTATGGATATTTCACAATTTCGCAGCGATTACGAGTGAATTGGTCTACTGGGAATTTCACAACGGTATGAAAGTGACAAGTATTTAAAGTATTTACATATATAAATAAGTGCGTGTGTACATACATATGTTTGTATGTGTATATAAGCTTACAAAAATTCACAAGTAATACCAAAAATATTTAATTTCAGATAATTTTTTTCCATTTTTTGCAGACATCATTTTGCTATATCTTCATGACTATCACCACCCACACTTCAACTAATATGTCCGACATTACCAACTAAATGTTATCAACAGCTCCATTATCACATATGTATACTACACTGAGTTCTAGAAAAATTAAACTACGTTTACAATTTATTAAGAATTTTCATTATGATGTCTATTTACTATATACACATCTGCATAAATATGTATATACGCCTGTGTATTCAGGTGTACAAATGTAAGAAGGCAGTCTGCAACAAATTTAAAAAAAAATAATAATATTTTGCAGCTCACTCGAGAGAAAATTTAGAGAGCGGCATTTTAAAGTACTCGAAGAAGAATAAAAACCCACTCTTGAGCAAGTGTAAAGCAAAAGAGAAATAAAATGAGTGAAAGTAGTACTGAAATTTTTAAGAGTAGAAAATAAAAAACTACGGGGCAGTGTTACCGTTGTACGACTAAAGTGTCAAATTGACACATTTTGGAGATCGATGCCCAATGACACCGACTTTTTAGAAATAGGCTTATTTTGAAACTTTTCTTAAAAATCATGCGACTTTTGACCGACCTTTTCTTTGATTAAAAATTTTATATACACAACTGGACAATTTTTTCATAAAATATTACTTTTCAAAGGCGCTTCAAAATTACATCTCTAAAAATTACTTCTCTACATCTCTATTTTGACTGAACTTTTTTATTATGCCAAAATTTTTAGCTTAGCATTTCCCAAAGTTATTTGTGTTAAACTGATTTTCGTGGCTCCCGGTACAAACAAATAATCGGCGATAATTTTTATACAAGCTTAAAAGGCTAAACTTTGTTGTAATAAATATTATCTACTCACGTTGCTTTTGTGTTATATTGATGTAAGTGCTTTTTTAATGCAATTTTGTTTTCATATATGCCCCAATAAGTTTCTAGAGGTAAAATTATAAAAGTCTAAGTTCCGGTTCCGGTACAACACAAGGCGGGGACGTAGAAAGCTAATGACTGATTAACGATACTCACATATTGACAAGATTTGCCCATTTATCTTAATACATATTTTTTTAATTTTTATTATTTATTTATAAAAATACATATATATTTAACAAAAACCATATACATAAATATTAGTTTCAGCCTTTATGTCACATTTGAAAAAAAAAATCTACAAACTTTCGTAAAATTTTCGAACTTTTGACTTCGATTTGAGAAATATTTTGAGTATGCAGTTTTGTATTTATTTTAATAATAATAAATAATATAGCTCAAATTTAAAGTATCCGTGACATACCGTTGATTTTTGGCATTTTTTTTTTTTTTTTACGATGCCAGTCATTTTCTTCCATGCAAAGTATATATGTTTGACGACTCTCTATGGAGAAAAGAGCAACACCTTCAACAAAAAAAAAGACTCCCAAAAATCAACGGTAAGTCGTACCTAGCTAAACTTGCACTTTATTATACTAAAATTGAATGAGCTCCAAAACTGTATGCTCAAAATATTTCTAAAAAAATCTGGTTAAAAAGCTCGAAATTTTTACGAAAGTTTGATTTGACAAAGATCGAAACTTGGATTTACATGGTTTTTATTAAAGAGTATACTATATTTTTATTAACAAATAAAATTAAAAAATATTGATATATGTAAATGGTCAAATCAATATGTGAGTGTCGTAAAATGATAAACACTACATTTGTATTTTTCTAATATTCTAATTGAGAAACATGTAACACCGAATCGAAGGAGTTATCAAACTGAAAAACAAATTTCTGAATTACCTATTTGATGAAGAAAGAAACAAGTATATACAGTTAGTTAAAATAAGGCAAACATATAGATACATGTGGCCTAACCCTTCAAGTAATTTTAGAGCCCATTTATTAATTAAATTATTTTGATTTACAGCAACAGAGAATGAAATGTATAACCTTTTGTATTTTAGATCTAAATGTCTCAATAGTGGGCGAAGCATTTACTATCGCTAACCATTTGAGTGATGTTGCAAAATATATACTACATACTCCTACATACTCGTATCAAGTTTATAGTTTTCCAATTTTCTTACAAAGCGAACTATTTACCTACTCAACGTTTTAATGAAATTATTAAGGCAACAAACATTTAACCTTAAATCTTGTACATACATTCATACATACATACATACATATGTGTGAAACTAAAATAAACACAAAATACATATGTATATATATTAGGGTGCCTATCGAAAATTGTTTTTTTGAAAATTTCAAAACCCTACCCTCTAATTTTTTTTTTTCATTTTTACAAGAAATATTATTTCCTATTTTTATAGATGTTTTAAAGGTCATTTAGAGGTCGCGACCTGTCGATTTAGGTCGGAAAATACGACGTCTAAATGACCTTTAAAAACCTATGAAAATAGGCAATAATATTTCTCATTAAAACGAATAAAATTAGGGTAGGGTCTTGAAATTAAAAAAAAAAAAGCATTTTCTATGGGCACCCTAATGTATATATAAATGAAACAATTCATTTAAATATATGGGAAAAAAGCTGTTGTTTGACAATGAAATATAAACTGAAACAACTGAACGATCTCAGTGAAAAATATTGCATTCGATTATTAAAGGTTTGCTATTTTAATAAATGGGTTTCAAGTTCAGAATACAATACAGTCCGACTGGAGCGAGCCTAATGAGAACAAACATGCAAATATTTAAAGTACAAAAAATAGTGTTTTTGGCTTCACTAAATAGCGAAATAAAAATGGTAATAAGTAGTTATGACTTCACTAAATAAGTGTTGCATACAAAAATAGGTAGTGCAAAGAAATCGCGAAAATTCCGAAATAGTCCTGAGATTCCAAAAATTATGCCGAAACGCTGAAAAGTTCCGAAAACTCTACAAAAAATACCGAATGATCTCGAAAAATATAATGATAAATTCCAGAAAGTCCTAAAGAAATGAAGAAAAGTCTTGAAAATGTACCCAAACTTCTTTAAAAAACCCTGAAAAATTAATTTAATTAATTTTTTTAATTTTATGTCGTTAAGCTCATACAGCTGATCGTTCCATAGTCTGGGGTATTCGCATTGCAGCTCTCAAGAAAATCATAAACTCCATATAAAACAACTCTTGAAATGGCGAAGAAATTTTCTAGTGTCAAATTATCTTAAAACATAACGCAACTCATAAGAAATTTGTACGCTTTCTACTAGGATTTTGTTAAGTTTTTTTTTGTGAAAAAAGGGCACAAGGCCACCCATGTTCGTAACAGCAACAAATATATGCCAGTATATTATTTCGGGAGGAAACAGTGATACAGTAGGCAATGAAATAACAGATGTCAAAATTCCACGAAATAATGGCAATGTTTTTTTGACCGTTTTCTTAAGAGCCTGGATACTAAGCTTAATTCTGGTTTCCCGGAGGCTATAGCCAACTATATGCTAATAGGCAGAATGGGACCTGGTATGCAGCACAATAGCTTCAGTGGTGAAATGTTTGAGACGGTACACGACATACTAAATAGGAATGAACTCGTTAGCGGTACAGGACCCATTGTGACACAAACTGCATAAAGCCAGAAGAGACATGGCGCTCAGTGCTATCTCCACCTCCCGACAAAATAGTTAACATTGGTGCTGGGGGGTTCGATACTCAGACGATACGATTGTACATGTGTGCATATAAAGGTCAAAAATGGGTGCACACATCTTTTGCACAACTTGTGAAAATTTTATTACGTTTTTCATTAAAGCATATTTACATATAACATTCTGAAAAGGCAACACTAAATAAATTAATTTCATTAGTTGCTAATTATATGTTTTATCAAGTCTTCGCTAGAAATACGGCGGAAAAAAAACAATTTTTCGTAGAAATGGTGCAGAATTCCTGAAAATCAATATTTTTTGATCGGAAACCTCTGGTGGTTGGTGGGGCCAATAATTTTGTCCAATTTTTTCTCATATAAAAAAAAAACATGAAAAACTTTGAGCGCGTTGAGCGACCTCTTAAATATATTTTGATTTCAAAATAAAAAAGTAGGGGTGTACTTTCTTTCGATATGGAACAATTCTAGGGGGTGAGAGCATTACAATTCCGACTTTACT